TCTGTCCCTCCCCTTCAGAACGTCCATTCACCTTTCCCTACTCAGCTTTTTCTCCCCGGGACCCCATAACACTTCTAACATACTATAAAATTTGCTTACCTAATATTAGATTCATTATCTCATTGTTTTCCTCCACAAGGATGGGGTTTTTGCCTCTCGTTTCTTGGTGGATCTCCCGTGTGTAGAAGAATGCTTGGAAGCACAGTAGGTGTTCAAGAACAACATTCTGAGGGATGGCGTGATTCATTAAAGAGACCAATACCAAGTTTGAGCCTGCATTTCACAGCTCATAGACCTCCAGTGTTCCTAACACACAAAAGAGGCCAGCAGAAAACATTTTAAACTGACTAGTTTGTACAAACCGTATTTGTTAATCTCTGCTCGACAATACTCAGGATTTTGGGTTTTTTTTCCCCCCTTTTGGCATCTAAAAATTAGGCTGACCTAAAGACACAAAGTGATGAGAATGAATTATAGATCATTACTGTACTGCCATTCCAAGAGGAAATGAATTCTGCAATGACTCCTTTATGCAGATAGTAGTAACTGTGAAGGAACATGGGAATGGATTTTTTGAGATCTAGTTCGGTGTCCTACCTCTAATGAGCCATGTAAACTGATAAATCTCTTGATAAATCTCAGAGTTCCAAAATCATCAGTTGAAATATGAAATTATTTCTAAACGATAACCAAAAATATTTAACTTTGACATCTAGCTTTTTTAGATACTAACTTCATTTTGCCCACCCCATTCCAGAGCCCCTATTCTATTAATAGTTCAAGTTTAAGGAGTTAGAAAGGACAGAGAGATGAACAAAGGAGAATGGTACCTGATGGGAAACACTCACTGTTATTATCATTGTAACCAAGATCATAAATATAAATTCAGGTAAAGAATCAGACTGCTGATAGTCTGAACCTGGTTCTACTTTCCCTCAGCAAAACCCCAGAAAAGCAAAAAGCAAAAACAAAACCAAAAACCAACAACAAAAAAACCTTGAAATTCAGTTTAAAAGGGCTTTGAGTAGCAAAAACAGTGCCATGACGTTTATCCTCTAGGCCTATTTGGTTACATCAGACTCTCACCTGGAGTCTACTTACTGCACACATAATTCATTTGGGCTAGAGTCCCTTTTTTTCCCCCTCAACCCAAAGGAATTAGAAGCAGCAAATTTTACAATGTTACCAACGGGGCAGATCTTGTCAGATAAACAACTTGAAGCTGATAAGAAGAGTTAAAGACAGTCTTTCATTCAGAGATGAGATATTGTAAACACATTACATTAGCATCATTAGATTATAATAAATTTTAAAATGATTTTCTGACAATGATCTTGACTCACAAGAGTAGATTAAATTATATTGACCACCTTGTGTAAGAAGGCAAGACATATTTCTGCTAGAAGAGTTTCTGTTAACAATAGTTTATATGCGGGCGCCTGGGTGGCTCAGTCAGTTAAACATCTGCCTTTGGCTCAGGTCATGATTCCGGAGTCCTGGGATCGACTGAGCCCTGCATCGGGCTCCTTGCTCAGTGGGGAGTCTGCTTCTCCCTATACTCCTCTCCCACCCCTGCTTGTGATTTCTCTTTCACTCTCAAACTATAAAATCTTAAACAAACAAACAAAAACATAATAATTTATATCTAAACACTTTTGTTTGAGGTATCTGAAAAGACCCATTCATATCAAACTTTTATTCCCAGGTGATGTTAGATAATGAGGTACATTGTATTATCTCTCCTTAAATTTCTCTGATAATTATGAATCAGTATTTTGGGCACTCCTCTTATGTCGACATGTTTTCTCTTTTTTCAGTATTTGTTGGGCAGTGTGGGGACCTGCAGTGTAAAAATATAGGTCCAGATACTGAGTAATCTAGGAATAGATGGATAAGTCAGATGAAGAAGAAATTGTCTCGAGCATGGGTTTTGGAGATGGCCTGATCTGGATGACAACTCATGCTTACGTAAGACCTCTGCTACTCAGATTCCTCATGTGTAAAATAGTGATTGTAATATCTATGTCCATAGATGTTATGAGGATTAAATAAAACATATATGCCAAGCACTTACATTTACAACCTGAAATAGAGATACCAGACACATATTTGGCGGTGAATGAATAAGCCGGTTTATCCTGGACGATTTATTTATAAACTTTTGTTGCTTCATCTGTAAAATGGGAAAAATAGTGTTTAACTTCATAGAGTTTTTAAAAATTAGCCACAAAAAATTAATATGCTTATGTACATGGCACATAAGGTATCCCCAGAATACCATTAAAGCCTAATAAACCATATCCATTAGAAATACTATGTTTTAGTAATGAGAAAACAAATGCCAAGGTATATGGTGTAATATGAGTTCAGAAAAAGGGCAGGCCAGTGTGAGTGGAAGTCAAAAGGGAAGGCTTCATCTAGAAGGTGCAATTCTGAATCATTGTCAAACTCATTGTCAAACGCTGAACCCGATAGAGTTCAGCTTCTCTGTCTACTCTCATGGCCCGCTATGTCCAGCTGTCCTGTACCCAGTGAAACAGAAGGTCCTAAATCAGTTCACTGAAAAATCTAAAAGGGGGCACAGATATTCAGGGCAGGGCTGGTGTGAACCTTAGCGGTGGCTTCTGTGTTCCTTTGGCAAAGGGCAACAAAGCAAGAATGATTGGTTTTGTGAACATTACCTCTGCAAAGGCATTCCTTTGTCTCTTCAATATTCATCAGCTTCAGTTATGTAGTTCACACTTGGTTCCTTGGTTTTGTTTTTGTTTTTTTGTTTTCCCAACTGAATATATATATAAATAGATTTTCAATTAGGAGCCAGAGATCTTGGATTTATTTTTTTCCCCTGAACTACTGAAAGTAGTTCTTTTTTTTTTTTTCCTGATGGTATAAGTGGCACATGTTCATGGTAATTAAATCAGTCAACAGAGAACATCTGAGGAACATGTAAAGATCTTTGGAGATTTCTGCCATGAATCAGAATTTCTTTCTTCTTTTTTTTCCCTTTATCTTTTCTTTTCTTTCTTTTTCTTTTTTTTTTTTTTTTTTAGAGAGGAGGCAGGGGAAGGGGCACAGGGAGACGTAGAGAGAGAATCTTAAGCAGGCTCCATACCCAGTGCAGAACCCAATGCAGGGCTTGAACTCAAGACCCTGAGGTCATGACCTGAACTGAAATCAAGAGTCCATGCTTAACCAACTGAGCCCCCCAGGAGCCTCCCAGTCAGAATTTCCTAAAGGGAAGTAACAAAGGATGAGGTTTCATGCAAAAATCAATGATAATTAGCTTCAATCACCCAGAGCAGCCAACATAATCTATCTAAAATACAATTTGGGTCATGCCATTCTCCTGTTTAAACTCTCTCTCTTTGTATTACTTTTGCAACAATATCTGTAATCCTGAGCACAATATGTGAGGCTCTTCATGATCTGAGTGTTGTCCAACTGGTTATTTCCCACCCTTCTCCCTTCACTAAGAACTTCAGGTTCTGGCCACAAAGAACTACTTCATACTCTCCAATTCTTAGCTTTAAAGCCCTTTTCACTTCTGGATTTTACATAATGGAAAACTGAGCTCACAAGCACCCTCTCACTACAAACACAGATGCTAGCTAAAATATAACTAAAAACATTTTTAATAAACAAATGGGCTTTTAAAAAAAAAACAAGACAAAATTTCCGGGTTCCAGAACCTAAGAAGAATTTGAAGTCAGAATTGTTAATATCCTGAAACCTGGGATAGTGGACATGGATAAAGGCCTAATAGTCAAGTAACAAGGGCTAATTATCTATAAAGAATCAGGAGATGCAGCCTTGAAAAATGAAGAACAGAGGAGTAAAAATAGAAAATGGAGAAAACTTAAGGAAAAGATAATTATTCCAAAGAAATACAAAAAGAAAGAAATAAAAAAATAAATGCATAGGCCAAATGCAAAACAATGAATGAAAAGGTAAATTCAAACCAAACTAGATCGGTAATGTTATTAAGTATGAAGGAGCTAAATTAAAAGATGAAGATTGTAAGGGGCACCTGTGTGGCTCAGTCAGTTAAGTGTCTACCTTCTGCTCAAGTCATGATCTCAGGGTCCTGGGATCAAGCCCCATAATGGATTCCCCATCCACCAGGGAGTCTATATAGTCCCTCTGCCCTCCCCCTGCTCATGTTTGTATTCTCTCTCTCTCTCAAATAAAAATAAACCAAACCTTAAAGGAAAAAAAAAAAAAAGAATGCAAGACTCTTTAAAATAGAAAAAAAATTATGTTCTATTTAAAGTAAGTGCTCTTTAAATGTAAGGTCACAGAAAGATGGATAGAAAAAGACATACTAGCAAACTAATATTTTAATTATATTAAAATCAGATAAAATAGGATACTTTTTATTATTTTATTAAGCTATAAAACACATACATTAAAATTCACATTTTTTATGGTACTAGTCTGTGGGTTTCAACAAATACATATAATTTCTTTTTTTTTTTAAATGTTTTATTTATTTATTTATTTTTTTAAAGATTTTTATTTATTGATTTGACAGACAGAGATCACAAGTAGACAGAGAGGCAGGCAGAGAGAGAGAGGGAAGCAGGCTCCCTGCTGAGCAGAGAGCCCGATGCGGGACTCGATCCCAGGACCCTGAGATCATGACCTGAGCTGAAGGCAGCGGCTTAACCCACTGAGCCACCCAGGTGCCCATGTTTTATGTCCATATAATCTTGCTTTTTCCACAACGTAATATAAATGGAATATAGGATATAGACTTTGAGACTGACTTCTTTCACTTAACATAAAGCATTTAAGATCTGTCCACACTGTTGTGTATTACTTGTTCATTTCTTTTTATTCTGGTAGTATTTTGTTATATAGATGTACCAGAATTTGTTTAACCAGTCCCTAGTTCAAACATTTGGATGGCTTCCAGTTTTGTGCAATTACAAATAAAGTCACTATAAACATTCACATATAAGTTTTTGTGTGAACATAAGGTTTCAGTTCACTTGAGTAAATAGCTAGGAGTGGGATTGCAGGGTTGTATGATAAATGTATTTTTAACTTTATAAGAAACTGCCAAATTGTTTCCTAAAGTGTCTGGGCCATGTTGCATTCCCACCAGTAATGTGTGAAAGTTCCAGTTGCTCTGCATCCATGTCAGCAATTGTTAGGGTAAGTATTTTAAAACATTTTATCCATTCAAGTAGGTGTGTAGTGGTATCTCATTGTGGCTCTAATTTTCATTTTCCTAATGACTAACTTCCCTAATCTTTTCATGTGGTTATTTTCCATTTTGGTCAAATATTTGTTCAAATGTTTTGCTTGTTGCTTAAGGTTTTCTTTTCCTTGTTATTGAGTGTTGGGGGTTCTTTATATAGTCTAGATATAAGTTCTTAGTCAGATATGTGATTTATAATATTTCTTTCCAGCTTGAGGTTTAGCTTTTCCATCTCTTAAAATATTAATCAAATATATTCATTTCTTATAGACCATGCTTTTGTTTTTGTGTTTAAGAAATTATTGTCAGCTCCAAATAGCAAGAATTATTTCCTTGTTTTTTCGAGACATTTTACAGCTTTAAGTATTAGACAAACACCTATCATTTATTTTTAGTTAATTTTTTTGCATAGATATGAGGTATGGACCAATGTTTATAGATATATATATTTTGTATAAGAGTATTCTAATGGTTTCAGCATGTCTTTTTTTTTTTTTTTTTTAAGACTTCACTTTCTCTGCTGAATTACATTTGCCCATTTGGACAAAATCAGTTGTCCATAGCTAATTTTGGATTCTATTGATCTTTTTATCTACCTTTTTTCAATACAACACTGTTTTGATTTCTGTAATTTTATAGTAAGTCTTGAAATCATGTAGAGTGACATAAATATGATGTAAAATAGAGACCTATAACTGATTAATGAATTGAAAAATTCATCCTGCAAAAATTGTCACCTTTTTCCACATTAGTTTTATGGCTAGTAAAATACCAGTAATATTTTCCTTTTATTGATCTTTCATTTTTTGTTTTTTCCTTTTTAAAAAGATTTTATTTATTTGGGAGAGAGAGATAGTGAGAGAGAGAGAGAGCATGAATGGGGAGGAGAGGGAGAAACAGGCTTCCCATGAACAGAGAGCCCAATGTGGGGCTCAATTCTAGAACCCTGGGATCATGACCTGAACTGAAAGCAGACGTTTAACTGACTGAGCCACCCAGGTGCCCCAAGATCTTTAATTTTTTGAAACGTAATAAATTGCTTCTAAAATGTTTATATGAAATTAAAAGGTCAAAAATAGTCTAGACAACTGAAGAAGTAGAAAATGTTAGGGACTTGCCTTCCCATTTATCAAAATTATTAAAAGGTACAGTAATTAATAAACTATATTACTCACACAGGCAGAGACAAATAGATGAATGAAACAGAATAGATAGGAACTTCACAGAAATAGACTCAAACATAAGCAGACTGTTAATATGACAGAGGGCATTGTAGATTATTGAGGAAAAGATGGGCATTTCATAAAAAAGTTAGGACAGTTGGCTATTATATCTAAAAATGAATTCAGGCCCCTCTTCATACCAGATATAAAATTGACAGCAGGTTGATTAAAGATTTTGAGCAAATACAAAATATTAAATCTGCTATTATGCTGAATATTATTACAAATTTGAGGTTGGGAAATTTTTCTAAAGCAAGTCAGAAAACTGCAAAAATCAAAGAAAAGGGTAAATAATTTTGATGACACCAAGATTAAGAACTTTTTCCCAAATGAAAATGGAAGGATACTTAAAATAAAAAAACACAAACTTGGATAAGGTATTACAGCACATATAACTAACGAAATACTCATGTCCTGAACACTTTTTAATACCAACTCTCAGGAACATAATGGGCAAACCACTTAGATATGCATTTCACAGAAAATATGAATATCCAATAAACATGGGAAAAGTTGCTCAACCTCAGGGAAGAGTAAATGACAACCACAATGTGTCATCTTTCCATATCCACTAGTAGGGCAAAACTGTAAAACACTGCCATGGCTAATCATTGGTGAAGATGTGGCTCCATGTTGAGGTCTCGTGCTTTATTGCTGAGCATTGGCACAGTCACTTGAAAATATAGTGTGGCATATTCTAATAAAATTGAGACTGAACAATCTAGTCCTACTCACATCTTCAAGAATTCTTGCAAATGTGCATCAGAATACATGATTCGTAAAAGTATTATTTTGTTATTATTATTATTTTAGTATTTAAATTCAACTAAACAACATAGAGTACATACTTAGTTTCAGATGTAGTGTTCAATAATTTATCAGTTGCTTGTAACACCCAGTGCTCATCCCATCATGTGCCCTCCTTAATGCCCATCACCCAGTTACCCCACCCCCCACCCACTTCCCCTCCTGCAACCCTCACTTTTTTTCTGAGAGTTAAGAGTCTCTCATGGTTTTTCACCCTGTCTAATGACTTCCCATTCAGTTTTCCCTCCCTTCTGCTGTGACCCTCTGCACTGTTTCTTATATTCCGCATACGAGTGAAATCACATGATAACTGTCTTTCTCTGATTGGCTTATTTTGCTCAGCATAATACCCTGCAGTTCCATCCATATCAATGTAAATGGTAAGTATTCATCCTAAAAATATGGAACACTTCCCGAACATGCGTGTCATCCTTGAGCAGGGGTCATGCTGATCTATCATTCCAATTGTAGTAAATGTGCTGCTGAAGCGAGCATACAGAAACATTATTTGTAACAGCAGAAAACTAGAAACAACTTGAATATCCATCAACAGTAGATTGTTTAAATAAATTATAATACATACACACAACAGAATATCCTACAAAAGTGAAAGTGAATAATGATAGCCTTGCATAGCAACATGCTGAATCTCAAAATTGTAATACTGAGGGAAAAAAAATTACCAAGAGTACTGTTTGTGTGATTCTATTTGTATGAAGCTTTGCAACAAGCAGAATTCAACACTCTAGAGCACCTGGGTGGCTCAGTTGGTTAAGCGACTGCCTTCGGCTCAGGTCATGATCCTGGAGTCTCATGATCGAGTCCTACATCGTGCTTCCAGCTCCATGAGGAGTCTGCTTCTCCCTCTGACCTTCTTCCCTCTCAAGCTCTCTCTCTCTCTCAAGTAAATAAATAAAATCTTAAAAAAAAACCAAACCTCAACACTCTATTGTTTAGGATACATATATATGATATATACATAAAGAAAATCAAGTCAATAATTACCACAAATACCATGCTAGTGCTTATTTTTTGGGGTTGTGTAGATAATATGATTGAAGAGGAAGATTCAAGGGCTTTAAGAATATTGTCATTGTTCTATTCTTTAACCTGGGTAGTATTCACAAGGGTGTTTGTTTAATTATTCTTTAAAAAAAAACTACGTATTTGTGTACGTAGGCACACTTTATAATAAAAAATTAGGTAGGAAATAGTCTGGTCAAAATTTGACATCCATTCATAATGTAGCAAAAATAAAATTACTGCAGATACCATTCTTGACGAAAAAAAAAATTGTGGGGGCACCTGGGTGGCTCAGTAGTTTAAACGGCTGCTTTCGGCTCAGGTCGTGATCCCAGGATCCTCAGACTGAGTCCCGCATGGGGATCCCTGGTCTGCGGGGAATCTGCTTGTTCCTCTGCCCCTTGCCCTTCTCATGTTCTCACTCTCTCTCTCAAATAAATAAATAAATAAATAAATAAATAAATAAACTTTTAAAAAATTGTGACATTCTCTTTTAAGTAAGTTAGACAATTATGCCCAGCATAATTATTTGTATTCAACATTGTTTCAAAAGTCCTGGACAAATCAGGGAAAGAAAAATCAATACAAGTAAATATTCACAAATTAAAAAGGAATAATAAGCCAAAGCATCACTATCTAAAAGTCATATGATTATTTTCATAGAAAATCCAAGTCTATTAACAAACTATTAGACCTAATAAATTCTTCATAGTTCCTGGATATAGGATTAATATAAAAGATAAATAACATTTAATAGAACATTAATCATTTAAAATATATCATTTATTTTCTTTAAAGATTTTACTTATTTATTTGATAGGATGAGAGAGAGATCACAAGTAGGCAGAGAGGCAGGCAGAGAGAGAGAGGGGGAAGCAGGCTCTCTGCCGAGCAAAGAGCCTGATGCAGGGCTCAATCCCAAGACCCTGAGATCATGACCTGAGCCAAGGGGAGAGGCCCAACCCACTGAGCTACCCAGGTGCCCCTAAAATATATCATCTAATGTAGCTAAATATTCCACTCAGAAGAGTAATGAGTAAAATATGTACAAGTCCTTCTGTATGGAAAATTCAAAATGTTGTGGGAGGATCTAAAACAAGATTAAATAATATATACACGGTTTTTATGAATAGAAAGACATCATGTTAAAGATAAATTCAGTTTCCTTATTCTGACAGTGTTTTCATAGGTCACTGATATTGACATTAAAATTCATATGGAAAACTAAAGGGCCAGAGGGATCGGAGACGATTTCAAAGATTGAGAAGGTGCAATTTTTTCCAATAAATTTAGAGTTTTACCTTAGAATGTAAACTACTTTTCACCTAGTGTCACCTACATTGAGATTCTATCAGTATGCATTCTCCTCCATGGATCCTTCTCAGCCTGCAAGTTTCCTTCCATATTACTCCATTGCATTCTGCACTTGTCTCTATCACAGTTTTTGTCACAGTGTTTATCAGAACCGCACTGAGGTCTGTGTTCACTCCTTTATCTCCTTCACTGCGCTATGAGCTCACCTTTGTACAGTCTGATTCCCCCATGGTGCCCGGTTCATAGGAGACAGTTAATAGATATCAACCCTTTGCGGTCTTGCACTGTCAGTCTTATTCCATGGTCAGATGAGCTAATTGTTACCACTAAATTCTCACCTAGTCCACAAGCTTTGGCAGAGGACTTGAAGGTTTGGTTATCGTCCATACTCAACTTCCTGGGACTCCATTTTAAAGTCGTTTCTGAAAGTAGCTCCGTGTGACTACCTTCATGTTTTCTCTCATGTTGAGTACAGACATGTAAAAGCATGCATTACAGAATTTCTCACCCGAAAAGGACCTTAGGTTATATTCTTTCCCTGCTCCTTTTATAGATGAGGAAACAGGGACCCAGGGTGCTCATACAGATATTCCATTTAAAAATGCTTTCAATTATATTTTATTTTTGCACAATATTTCTACTTTCTGACATGCCTGAAATTAAATGAATTGAAATCTTGAAGGATGATTTGTGATTCTGACAATGAAGAAGCCAGGAAATTGATCATACAGAAAAGTATGTAGAAGCTAAAGGGATAATCGAGTATAGTCTGTGATTTTTAGATATTTATGGCATGTTCTTTTTATCCATTATCCTATTTTAGAACATACATTTATCCTGTTAAAAGTAACTAGGAATTGGAGGAACATCCTTAGGGTAGTGTTCAAGAGAAGTTCAGTTTATAATCGTGGAACTGAAATAAAAATGTTCTGTATTTGTGCGCAAGCCAGCCCAAGGTGGTTGTTTACATTTAGCAAAGAGTTACCTAACCTTCCAACTTGGACTTCGGCTCCCTCTTGCATTAAAAAATAATTCTGAATACCATTATTTATTTCCTGTTGGTGTCTTACCAGATGAAAAGAGAATTTGAATTCTATGTCTCTTGGCTAGCAGAAAACTCTGGTGTTGCTTTGCAATTTATACATCCTGTTTGTATTCTCCCACATTCCGAGCAGGTTTTTCTGTTTGCTTATACGGTATCCCCTTCCACACCTACAAACCCTCCTTGTTTTCCTTTTTTTTTTTTAAATGTAATTATAGCTTACCTATTTATCAATCAATACCACAGCCAATATATTTCTTTTTTTTTCTTTTTTTACTGATATTCTTTGGAGGAAGCCTTTTTAACGATAACATAATCAACTATTAACTTGAACAGAGAAAGGAAGAGTTATTTAAAATTTCTTCAGACCTGTTATTTATTTATTTATCTGTTTGGTGGGGGTGGAGGTTGGGGAGAGAGAGAGAGAGGGAAGGGGCGGAAGGGGAGGGAGAAAAAGAATCTTAAGCAGGTTCCATGTTCAGGGCAGATCCGGGTGTCGGGGGGCTCAATCTCACAACCCTGAGACCATGACAGGAGCTGAAATCAAGAGTTAGGCCCTTAACTGAGCCATCCAGGCACCCCCAGACTTATTTTCAAGTGGAAGCTTTAACAGGCAAAAGATAGGCTTGGCGTCTTTATCTCCGGGAAAGCAACTTCAGTGACAAGAGATAGTTTAAATGTTTTAACAAACACAACCTCACTGAAAATAACAAGGCTTTGTTATTAGAAGTTAAGGTATAGATTTTAAAGTGTATGGTCAAAGGAGCTCGCAGAGTAAAAATGCATTACTGGTATTATCATATGTGATCAAAATCAGTGAGGACAAATTGTGTGTTGATGTGAAGAGTAGCCAGGATTTGGAGTGTGCAATGATATGAGAAAAGCTGATGGTCTTTCCCAACAAACAGGAGACCGGAATGCTTTCACCCCAGTGGAGGCCACAGGCAGAGATCATCACTGGTGAAGTGTTCAGGCACGTTTGTCCTAGGGAAAGAGCCACTCTTCTTCTTAGTGCTTTCGAGAGGAATGTGGGAGTTTGGAGATTTATTTAGCTTTTAAGAAAGAATCGGCATTACGTCGAGAAAGATGATTTAATGAGCCTATCTGCCATACAAATTATAATAATTAACCGAGGGTGACATGAAATTAAAAACCCAAGAACTAGAAAACGTAGGCACACTTTCATGTATAAAAGACTGTGGTTCCATTACTGCAGTTTTTCTAAAAGTCTGCACAGGGTAGATGATAAATACGACTGATGAATAATTAATTTTAATCTATTTTCCTTGTTTCTCCTCAACAGGCAAAATTCTTCCTATAGCTTACCAACATCATCCCAAACACATAAAAGAGCATTTTTTAAAAAGCCAAACCTTGTTGTTCCAAATTGAATACATGCTTGACTTTTCCTATTCTCATCTTCATTTTGGTATCGCTTGTGTAAAGTCAGAGACGGAAGTGGAAAAAGAACTATAAAAACAACACGCTCTTGCTAAATATTCATCCTCTCTAAAGGGATTAGAAGCAAAACCTAAACCAAAGAGGGGGCACACTCGACAAGGCGCGTGGTGTAGTCCTGATATATTTTGGGCAGGTTGTGAGTGCTTTGGGTAGGAGATGGCAAGAGAAGGGCTATTTCTCTTCTCTCACCCTTTCATAGAATTTCAACAGCAGATTCATATTTTTGGATGGTGTTCAAAACGTATAGAATCAAAAGACTGATAACATAAGGCCCATCATCTAGAATTTCACTTCATAAGCCTTGCCTGAATTGATTTTGAAACGTACTTTTGCTGACCCATCACTGTTTTTGCTCATCAGTTCAGTTTATAGCAAATGGGTGAATTATGTATAATTATTTATTTTATTTTATTATATTTATTTGTCAGAGAGAGAAGAGAGAGAGCACAAGCAGGGGGAGCAGTAGGCAGAGGGAGAAGCAGGCTCCCCACTGAGCAGGGAGCCCAATGCGGGACTCGATTTTAGGACCTTGGGATTATGACCTGAGCTGAAGGCAAACACTTAACTGACTGAGCCACCCGGGCACCCCATGAACCACATATTATGATTAGTAGTACATTTTACATGTCTTAAAAGATTAATAAGAGGTTAATCTTATTTATATTTTAGACTTCTTGATGCTTACATGTTTTAAATCATACTCCAAATACTCCACAAAATATATCTAATTTTAGATCTTTTTCATGTTCTGAATACAAGGACATATTATTTCCTACCAGCTTGTCCCCAAAGGCGGGACACTGTTCCGCTGTCCTGTGCGTAGAAACGACATCCAGGAGGCAGAAGACGCAGAACTGCCCTAGGCAGATGACAGTTGTCTTCTTTTGTTTATTGGTTTATTTATTTATTCATTTTTTTTTAACCACACTCCTCTCCGCTTTCTTCCAGCTCTCTCAGAACTTTTTCTAATTTTTTTACATGCTATGTAGCACCCACCAGCCTAAAGAAGTCACTGCAATTGTTTTAAAAACCTTCCCTTGCCCGGTTCAAATTGGCTTTTAAAAGGGGTTTTGACCCTTTAAAGAAAGAGAGAAAGAGAAAAAAAAAAAGGAAAGTTGACCTAATTCAAATCATAAAGAGCAGAGTCTGGTTTTGATTGTTGAACAAATTATTTCAGAATAAATGGGGCACTGATGATGGGCTAAGGCATGAGCCAGACTTGTGGCATTTTTTGCTTTCCTTGTTTTTCTGTTCTAGCCACAGAAGTCACACGGTCTTAAAGAGAAGGTTCTCTGGACGTCTGTGATATGAGGACTTTGAGTCCCTTGGTCTAGAGGACACAGGAACAGATAAGTTTCTATTTAGAGTAATTAAAGTAAGTAGTTAATTAAAGGCTTCTTGGACCCTAAGTACAGAGAACGAGCTGAAATGGCTTTGCTGCCTTGGGCTTGAAGCGCTACCCTGTGACCATCAGACACTCCTTACATGAGGAAGGTGATCCTGCCGGGGTCCCTCTCGGTGTGAGAAGTGAAACTACCTTGGGGAGTAGATTAAGCAAGAGTAAATAGCAATGCTTCATTTATCGTGAGTGTATGTTGTGTGTAGCTAGCTATTTGAATTTCTTCCAATCTTGCTCTAAATTGTATTTTTCATGAGCAATATTAAGCAAGTTGGTAATTCAACAGTAGTTTTTATCTCTACATTGACAGTTACACCCAGATGAGTAAGGCTAATCTCCTTCACTTTAAATTCTTCGAGACCCTTGACATTTGATTTGCCTTTTACAGACACTGGGTAGTCTTTGCTGGAAACTAGCCATTGGGCTAGTTAGCATTTAGGGTGGCTGATGTTCTATCCAAGGCATCGTGACATTGGAAGAGCCATGGAATTGCTCCAATTTAAAGTCTTGGTGGGAATGTGTGATTTGACTATGATTCTGCATGCAAATACTCTGTGCAAAGGGAAAAAAAGTCAAACCACAAGGAGCAGGTCCTTCTTTTCTTTGTTTGATGTCCCTTTTGTAATTGTTTGCCCATTCTTTTGCACTCATTTTTTTTTAAGATTTATTTATTTGAGATAGAGAGAGAGAGAGCACTCACACATGTGCATGTGTGGGGCAGGGCAGGGGGAGAGGGAGAAGCAGGGTCCCCACTGAGTAGGGAGACCTACTTGAGGCTCGACCTCAGGACCCTGAGATCATGACCTGAGCCCAAGGCAGATGTTTAACAGACTGAGCCACCCAGACACCCCATCTTTTGCATTCACTTCTGCAGACCTTGTGGATGCCTCAGGTCTCTCCTACCCATCTGTCCTTTGCTCTAGTGTTCGGTGATGTCTGGACCAGAGCTAGTTCTCAGATATGGGCTGGCCAGAGAGCAAGGAAAAGGAGGAGGTGGGCAAAATCTACTTTTTCTCTACCTACCACTGCATTTGACTCAACTTTAGTATTCCCAGTGAGCAGGGCATGCCAGTTTTTTCATGGACTATAAGTCTCCTGGTTGAAATGATTTTGAGGGGTAGAGGGAGAAACACAGTGCACAGCACCATGTCTGAGACATGACATGTGGGGAGAAGGCATAGCTCTTGCACCCTAAGGTAATAGACCTCCCGTTCTCCTGGAAAACAGGAGAAATAGTGAATCAACCCCAGTCCCAACTGACATACAGGGCTGATGGGAAAACCATCCCAGAGCAGATATCTGTAATTTTGCTGTGAAGCAGTCTTGCCCCATTTAGTGCAGGAGGTATACGCCTCTACCAGACACAGTAACCAGAGATAGTTCTAATGGTAGCACGCCTAACATTTATTTTCTTTATTGAATGAACATCAAGTGGGTGAGGCAACATTTAAAAGGCCAGGCCAAAAGCTGGCAGTGCTATGAGCAGCAATATGGCAGAAGGCATTATTATTGCTTGGAACCAAAGACATCAAGTGAGTGGCATCAACCACCGTGACTAGAGGGGTTGCCAAGGCAAGAGTGCAGCAATGGTGCCATTATTGTAATGAGGAGAGACTGGTTGTTAACCAGGTTAATGAATACAGCAACGAAAGTTTGTGATTACCTCCAGGCCCATCCCAACCTGAATTTCTGCCCTTCTCAATCTTCCACTAACATAGACTAGAGAACAGAAGATGCTAAAAGAACTAGGGTTCTAGCATTTATTCTAGTGGGGGTTTATCTGACTCTTCTTTTGCCTTTCTGTGGTTTCCTTACCCACACTCCTGCTCACTACCTATGACTTCATTAACATACCAGTTACCTAATTTCCTTAGAAGGAAGCATTCGAATCAAAAATTCATGCTGGGGCAACCGGCTGTCTCAGTCGGTTAAGTGGCTGACTTCAGCTCAGGTCTTGATCTCTGCTCATGTCTTGATCTCAGGGTCTTGAATTCAAGTCTCACATTGGGCTCCACACCAGGCATGGAGCCTACTTAAAAAAAAAAAAAAGAAAGAAAATTTTTGCTGACTCTCTCAAGTCATGTTTTTTTCAGTTGTTAAGTGACCATTATAAATGATCGTAATAACAATACTAACTTCACAGAAATGTTGCAGAAATTAAATATAATCACAGCAGGTGCTAGCTAACAAAATTGATTATATCTTTTGTGTGTTATCAAACTCATGTTATTTCATGTGTGTCTTTTCTCATTACCGGTTGCTAGTGGAAAAACCAAGAATGGAAGTGTGCTGAGGGGTGGCAGAATGGAGCAATAATTTATTGATTATCTACTCCGTGCTAGGTGCTGCTGGAGATAAAGAGGTACAGCAGGAAATAAGACCTAGTCTCCAATTGATTTTGGGTCCACATTTAAAGAAGTTTGCCACTAAAAATAAAACTTTTCACAGAATGCTTACAAACCAATAATCAGGGAAAGTCGAATAGAATGGAAGATATTTGGCACAAACAGAAAACGACTTACGTAAAACCAAATGAGAATCCTTATTTACCAAGGAATAAAATAAATTTACATTTTGGAAATGTAAAGTACAGCGACTCCAAGTATTATGTTAAGCATTACAAAAAGAAACATATGCAAAAAGAACTGGTAGAAACTGCAGCCAAACAGTCCTAATTTCCGATCAGGTATGAAGCAAGTATTAAAAAATGTACTGATAGCTGGAGAACAGTTTTGATTTGACTGCAGATACTAAGTAAGGTGTGGAAGCACAGATGATACTTCTGCAGGATAAATGCTTTCGAATACTCTTTATTTGTACATAGTGATATAAACAAGAGTGTGGACTTGGAAGCCAAGACGTACCTGAGTCTGTGTCCTTTAAGACTTTGAGGAAATTTACTTAACGTCTCTGACTCAGTTGTACAATCTAAAAAAATGGGGTCATAATAATAGGAAAAAATCATTGCAAGTATTAAATACATATAGCCTTGTATGGTGAAAATTACCTAGTAGAGTCAATAAATACTAGCTTCCCTTCTGCCTCTCCCTTTCTTTCTCTATCTGCTCCCATTTTCAATCACCCCACTTCTGTAATACCCCAGAGAGACGGAACAGCTGCTTCCTTACTAAAGAGGAACTAAAACAAAATCCCACCAGGATTGGATCAAAATAACACTTTCTCTCACATACGATGAAATTCATGCTTTAAGACAATTGTTGCAATCCATTCATTGAGAAATAATCCATTTGCACACGGGCCGATCTGACCTGCTTGAGCTCAAGAAAAAACAAAAAATTCTTCTTTGTATCTAGTGGGCTAATCTGTGAATATATAAAAGTGAGCGTTCTAATAGCACCCTGCTCTATTTCCTTAAAATGAGTTTCACCATGTAAAATGAAATCGTCTTAAAGTTTAGTAAAAAGAGCATGCTTTTATAAACTGTTCAAAGGGCTTTTAGTTCTAAAAATTATTATGGCGTTGACTATAGTTTCTCTTAATTGACAAGTATAGAGGCTGAAACGGAGTATTTGCTATTGGGATCTAGTTACTTCTTTAAGAGTACAGATATAATTATAAGGAAAAGCCGTAAAAAA